TTCATTATTTATTATCTATTTCCTCTTTTTCATCATGATCACGAGTGTAATTATCGTGGTCATGAACGAGTGCAGCATCTAAAGGGTGTTTGGGAAGTGGCTTTTTTAGCTCTCTGTCAGCTAAGTTGTTTCCTTTAATTTCCTCTGTTCATGGAGCTCCTTTGGGTTGGTGGACCTCGATTTTAATTATAGCAATTTCAGAGGTGAGCAAAATGGCTTCTAAGAGGTCTGCTACTAATGGCTCATTTTAATTTGGCTCCCAGAAGAAGTCAGGAACCCCCCCTCCCCCGCCTTGTTTCCATACCATGCGAAAACCATGAGTAATCCCAAAGCACACCTAGATCAGTAAAAATATTTACTGTCCATCCACAATTCTGTTTCCAAGTCTTTGTGAGTGCAGTAAGTTCAGCTTGCTGAGCTGAAGTGACTTCAGGAAGGATGCCACTTTCGAGGACCTCAGTTGAGGTAGTGATGGCATATACTCCCTGGTAATGAGAGTTGGTAGGTTCAAGCTTTAAATATGACCTTTCAACAAATAGAACTAAATTGAAACAATAAGGGGGTTTCTTGTAAACCCGGTCTAGGAGACAAAAGATGTATGATAAAATTTAAACAATTATGGTGTAGATGGTCATCATTATTAGGTAAAAGTAACAATGTAGTTGGATTCAGAGACGTTATAGTATGTAACTGAATATTAGAAATGGCCCAAAGAACTTCATAAGAAGTCAGCCTGCTGGCCAACAGGTGTTGAGTAAGTGTTGAATATAAAATGGCTGACACCACATGAGGGACATAAATGTCAAGAAAATTTCCTAAAACTATATCTGCTGTGGCATCAACTAGTCTAGACATTGTAGCAACTGCTCTAAGGGAAGGGCGGCAGCCCCTTGCAACAGGGTCCAGCTGTATGCTATAATAATCAGTGGGTCTCTGTTGCTGTCCGTGTTTTTGAGTGAGGGTTGTCACAGCATTTCCTGAAATCTCATGATAAAAAGTGAAAACTCTAAATTATAATCAGGAAACCCTAGAACAGGAGTGTTAATCAATGCTTCTTTTAGTTGAGTTATGCCATTTTGGCTATCCTTGGAGAGCTGGAAGGGGTCAAGCTCTGAATTCTTTGGAAAATGATAAAGAGGTTGAGCCAGCCGAGAAAAATTAGGTATCCAAGATCTGCAATAGTCGCAGAGTCCTAGAAATCCTCTTGTTTCCAGGATGTAGGACAGGATAAGCTAAGAAGGTCTCTTTTCTTTTGGGGTCTATAGTTACCCCTTTTGCTGAAATAATATGTCTCAAATACTTAACAAAAGGTATTGGCTAACTAATTTTTCTCTGGATGTTTTGTGACCTCCTCTGGCCAAGTGTTGTCACAACAGGAGACTATCGGTAAGACATGCCTGTTGATGTTTAGAGCAGAGCAGTAAATTAGCCACATATTATAATAATGCAGACCCCCAAGTGAAGTGTAAAGTATGTAAATCTGCAAAAAATAAGTGGGGGGACTCAGGAAAACCTTGGGTCATGACAGCTCAGGGAAATTGCAGGTCCCCCCAAGTGATGACAAATATTGACTGTCTGGATGGACTGGAATGCTAAAAATAGCCCGGTAAAGTTTGACTACTGTAAGGTGAATCACTTCATGGGGATACTAGAGAAGAGCAGGTAGGGTTAGAAACTACAGGGAATCTTGGAATTATTATACGGTCAATACCACACAAATCTTGTACCAATCTCCAGCCCCGATTGTTGGGTTTCTTAACAGGGAAAACTGGAGTGTTGCAGTTATCAGTGCAAAGTATTATTAAGCCTTTAGCCAAAACATCTTGAATTAAACGAACAAGTCTTTCCTTAGCTTCTCATTTTAAATGGTACAGAGAAATTTTAGGTAGGGGTTTAGAGGTATCTATTTGAATTTTAATTGGTTCAGCTGACAGGAGCTAACCAACATCAGAAGCAGTAGCCCATAAACTTTCAGATACAGAAGACATTTCACAGTATTGGATAAAGTAGGGGAATGACCTTCTTGTGGTGGTAAGCTGAGTGGTGTAAATAGAGTAGGCTTCTTCACTTAAAGTATTTTCTATTGTAGAGTCTATCTGTTGATTGGCTTCAGGTAAATCTAATAGCATTTCTCCTGTTCCTGTGAATTTTATTTGACAATTCCATTTGGATAACAGATCTCTTCCTAATAAATTTACTGGAGTATTTAAGCTCAGTGAAAATGGGTGCATGTCCTCTATAGGACCCACAGAGACAGAGAGACCAGGAATGGGTTAAAATCTGTTCTTGATTAGTAACCCCTATGACTCTGGAAGTTTATTACCCAGAGCAAGGGCTTTTGAAATTTGTGAGGTTTATTGCAGATAATATAGTTAAACATTTGCACGGTTCTCCTTTTATCTGAATAGTATTTTCTCCCTAAGAGTTTAGTGCTACCATAGGAAAGTCCTATTTGTCCCCACAGCCCCTTCATTCTACCTCCTTCTGGGCTACATCCAGTATTAGGTTGCCCAGATTATTTTTAGTTTTAAACATTCCCTTTTAAAATGTCCAGGTTTTTTTTACAGTAGTAACCAACAAGGGGCAAGCTACAGGGCCCAGTCTTAGCCATATGTCAGGTGAACCTGTTTCGTGTGAGGAAATTATTTTGAGGCCAGGTCTGCAACTGCTGTAATTGCAGGGCTATGTTGATTTTGTTTTGCTTTAGTTCTCAGTTCAGCTTCCCTAGCCTGCTGTTTAAGAGTTTGACACAGCTTATAGGCTAGAATGGCTAACTGTGAAGTGTTTTCATTTTCCCAATCTAGTTTCTGGCACTTGGCTAACTCAGTGAGCTCTGGATGGAGGCCACTGACAAAAAGGGAATTTAAAGCAATATGATATCCAGAATGTTCTACCTTTAAACCCAAGTTTTCTTGAAAAAGTTCAGTCAAATGGTCCCTATACTCATAAACAATTTCACCTTCATTTTGTTTGCAACCCTGAACCTTTGTCCAATCTATTTTTCGGGGAAAAACCTTTGCGATAGCTTCAATAAGGTCTGTGACAACAGCACTAGTATGTGCTATTTCCATGGTTAGGGATTCTGTAGGGGTTTTCCATCAGGCCTTTTCTGTCCACCTTTGAGTATCACCTGGCCCTATCAGTGAATTTATTAAATTATGTAAGTCTGCTGGACCAGGTTCATAGGTTATCAGCCAAGATTCTAAATTCTTGAGTGAATTTGTGAGGATCTTCATGAGAGTTAAGAAAATCCTTAACATTAGAGTGAAGTTTCACTTTTGATCAGGGGACAAAAGCCTCTTCAGGATATTTAATTTTAAAAGGCATTTCATAAACGGGTTTTACTTCTAGAGGTTCCTTGAGATATTAAGGAGGTTCACTGAGGGGGTTTTCAGTGGAGTATGTAGGTGAAGAGGGGTACAGGGGAATAGCTGCTGGAGGGGCAGAGGAAAAGGAGGGGCTCTGGGCATCAGAGGCTGGGACAGATGCAAGGGACTTCACCACTTAAGAAAGGAAGCCATTTTAGGAAAGGGAGCCATTTTGGGAGAGTGAGCCATTTTGAGAGAGGCAGTCATCCTGGGAAAGGGAACCATTTGGGGAAACGGAGCTATTTTGAGAAAGGGAGTCCTTTTGGGAAAATGGAGGGTATATAGGGTGCTGCCATGTACATAGTCATTGAGGTTATAGAGCTCTGACACTCTTTGTTTAGCTTGTTTTGAAACAGTCTCCTGCAAGGAGGCAAATTTATCATTATGGTTTCTTTGGGAAGCTTCCAAATACCAATTACAAATGGCTCCCATTGCTTTAGTTTTATTCATAAGCCCTTAGCCTCTAATATGCCGTGCAGAAAGTTCAACTTAATTAACTCATTGACCACCGCTGTGGTCGTTGGTTGATTAAATTTCCCTCCACAAGACTGAACTGGGGCCATAATACCTAGTTACCAAGTTGATTCCAACTTATAGCGACACTATAGGATAGAGTTAACTTCCCCATAGGGTTTCCAAGGAGTGGCAGGTGGATTTGAACTGCCAACCTTTCAGTTAGCAGCCATAGCTCTTAACCACAGCATCACCAGCGCTCCAGGGCCATAATGTTTAGTCATATAATCAGCAGGAGTTCCTTTAGAGGTTCCTTCTTCACTCTTGGACGTGACATTTCAAATCTCATGGAGAAACTTGTAAGTATTAAAGACCTAAATGTGTGTAAAAACCTTACGATACACCAAAAAGAAAAGGGAGTTCAGTAAAAACAGTCAGGAAATGATAGTATAGAGAAAAGACAGCCAATCTCTGAGTCATCTTCGCAATAAGCAGAGGCTTCAATCTGAGAGGCTGACCTCCAGCAAACCTGGAGAATTTGAAGAGACAGTTCTGGGCACAAAGGGCTCTTGCTGGTACCATGGCGAGCCAGTTCCATGACTTCTTGGAAACACGTAATATTCCTTCAGAAATCCTTGGGACTACGCTATTAAACGTCATAGTGTAACCATTTGTACTCTACTTAATATAAGATTGAGTGGTTTACTGAAAAAAAAAAAAAAAATCAGCTCAAGCAGGGGATGGACTGAAATCCATGCGGTAGAATCCAGTAGTCCAAAATGGCAACTCAGCAGTGACGTTTTATAAGAAGGAACAAAGGATATGAAACACATTACTTGATTGCTATTTACAAACTTAGATCATCAAAAGATATTACTTGATTGGTAATAGGTTATTATAGGCAGGACTTCCTGAGACGGAATACATAGGGCAATACTTGCTGTGGAGGGAACTCATAAGGCAGGACTTCCTGTAATTCAAGCTTCTAAGGCAATTGGCTTAAAAGAACATATGTATCTTTCTTGGATTGGTTACCATATGGTAATTACAAGGATATGTGATGAGGAGAGGAGAGTCACAGTATAGTTATGTCATTATTACCGAAACCTTCTCTCTTGGAAACAGCACAGAAGTTGGCTGCTCCTAGGGTGAAAACGGGACCAGAAAACAAGGAATCACACCTAATTCTCAAACTGGCCATTTCAGATCTTATCAGATACATCAATTTTTTTAAATTCTCTTACATAACTGTTTTTTGTTATTGTTGTTTTTTTGTTTTGGTCTGTCTGGGGCAGAGGGTTGTGGAGGATATTCTAACCTGATAACTTTTCCAGGGTGTCAGAGAATTGTCACACACAGAATTGTTGCAATTTTCTGACACCCTGGAAAAACCGTCAGGTTAGAAAAGTCTGATATAAATAATCAGAGCCAGATTGCAGTCTGTCTCCAAAACGTAGATCACTCCACTCTCCATGCAAAGCATCAGATTCCCTAATATAAATATTTAGTATTTATTTTTCTCTTAAGGATTGAATTCATTCAAGAATCTTGATGTGTGAATTTGATTTCCATCTGCCATTCAAGACAGATGAATAACACAGCCTGAGTTATGGTTTATTAAAGAAAAATTTTACTACA